AAGGTGAAGTAAGTTAACAAGTGACCCATAACCTTTAAGTCTTGGTTTGTTTCCATAGGCCAGAAATAAAAATTGTGATTTGTTTGTACGTACACAGGGGAAACAATTAATGAGAAAGACAGATGTAAAACATGCCATGGTAGGAAAGTTATTAAAGAGTCTAAAATACTACAAGTACATGTAGATAAAGGAATGAAAGACGGGCAGAAAATAACCTTCCGCTGGGAAGGTGACCAACAGGTAAGTTCAATAAAATGTCCATTTATAGGGATATCAAGAATGAGTTGAAACTGCTCACTGTGGGAATGGCACATACATTACAGCTCAAGCGGCTGAGGCTGAGTATTATCTAGCAAAACCAAAATCCTAAGAATATTATCTTTCAAACAGGAATGAGTATATTATGTAAATTTAAAAACTGACACAGCTTAGTATGCACTGTTGTGGTTGCTGCAGTATTATCTAATTTGACTACATCGTCATATTCAATTCAGAGAATGATCTATCTTCACTTTACACATTATCTTGCCATACATCCTTCTCTATTATGGCGATGTGGGCGATTCATTATTGTTTAAATAAAACACATTATCAATGACCACGATGATAAATTATGTATTGACCTTTGAATCAAATTTACTGTTACTAATGAAGTCATCGTTTTTCATAATTACATTGCATGCCTAGAATGTGGCAAGGCTGTCAGGGGAACTTGTAATGTATCATGTTATGATGCATGGACATTATAAATTAAACATAACCATAACCATATGACGTCATTGCTTTCTTTGTAGCCCGGCTTGGAACCCGGTGATGTCATCATAGTGTTACAACAAAGAGAGCATGATGTGTTTCAACGTGATGGTTTGGATCTGTACATGTCATATAGCATTGGTCTAGCGGAAGCACTCTGTGGATTTCAAATTTCTGTTACACATTTAGATGGAAGACGGCTACTTGTCAAGTCTGCCCCTGGTGGAGTGATAAACCCAGGTAGGAAGGTCATGGGTCAAATTGATGATTACTGCTATATAATGGTGAAAAATCCTGTTGCAGTGATTCCTTATTTGTATGGAGTCGTACCTTAGTATCAGTTTTTAGTTTATCTGATACCCCCCTGTTCTCCTAATGTAGATCAGTGTCAGGCAGGCCTATCAGCTTATAATAAGATTTGGTTGGATAGCTATATAAAAATGCATTCAGTGTATGTGATGTGCATGACAAAGCATCTTTTTAGTTTTAAACAAGGACTTGCATAAAATATTTAAATATTAGTTAAATATTTATCAAAATCGCCATCACCATTCCAGAACCAGTTCACATCAGAAAAGTTATACATTCTGATTTCAGTTTACTATTGCATGACCAGGTTTTACCAATGATTTGTGTTCATGTAAATGAAGGATGTGAGGGTAGTGTCTGCATTTATTTGTTTTCCCGGTTTATCTTGGTACAACTTGTTAATTATGTGTACTAGCTGTGCGGTTTTAGGTCAATATCGTGTAAATGCACATTTATGAGGTCAACAGTGGAATGGCATTTACAAGGTACTGACACTAAGACAACACTTATTGTTTTGAGACTTGTGTAACCATATTAACTCTTACAGGTAGCATGCGGGCTATTGTGGGAGAAGGCTTTCCTGTGTATAAAAGTCCATTTGAAAAGGGAAATCTCTATATCAAATTTGAAATTAAATGGCCAGAAAACAACTTTGCTGATGAAAACAAATTAAAGGTAATGTTGCATTTATTGGAGTTCACCCCCAACTTGAACTCGTGAACTTATTCATAAATAACATGGCTAAAGTAATCACAAATTGTTTGCCTCAACAAAAGTTTTGATTTTAAGTTACGTTAAATCGTTAACAATTTTATTGGTTACATTATTGTATGTTGTCTTTCAATCACTGGGTAGTTTTATCATTGGCATATGGTGTTACTTTGATCACTTAACTATTTTCAGCATTTATTTTGATTCTGACTGATGTATGAGAAACCATTACATAATCAGCAAACAATTTTGATTTAGTCAAGGGAAATCAACTAACTTGCACTAACTTGTCTCTCGCCTTCTAGATGATTGAAAAGTTTTTGCCTCCACGGCCAAAAATGCCACCACTGGATGACAACGTTGAAGAAGTTGATCTGACTGAATATGAAGAAAGACTCAATAAACGCTCGGGGCGAGAAGCATATCATGAAGATGATGACGCCGATGAAGGACATCATGGGCCGGGTGTTCAGTGTGCTCACCAGTAGTATGTCATAATTACTTGAATCAGAGAGGACTAAGTTTAAATGAAACACCATCAAGTATTTAGCACCAAGTCCTGCTCCTGTAGTTTACAATGCTGAAATGTTCATGAATTTTGGTATACTGTTGATGATATTCATTAATATACAAATAAATTTTCATATGAAAAACAACTGATTAGGTAGATTAGAAACGTTACAGGAATATATAAACAAATCTGTCAACTTTGTCTTAAAAGTTTAAGTCACAAACATTTACTCAATGCTAATGTTTCTTGAAATGATCAGCAACATTGATATTTACTATGATGGATGTTTTATGCCAACTTTCTCATCCTTGAGTTAGAGGGAGCAATGACTTCGCCACCCAAGCTGTCATTATCATTTTTACTACTTTGTTGCATTAATGTATTGCTGATGTCCAAATTTTATTTTTCATTTGTATTCTCATTCAAACTCTCTAATACTTGTTGCATCCATTCTGGGATCTGTTTATGCCTACGACTAGATCACCATATATGGATAATTTGAGCATACTCGATCACCATATATGGATAATTTGAGCATACTCGATCACCATATATGGATAATTTGAGCATACTCGATCACCATATATGGATAATTGAGAACATTGATGTTTATCTCTGGTAATGTGCAAGAATAAATCAATTATGGTACTTCATTTTCTAACACAGTAAACTATTAAACACACATACTCTGACCATCTAGAAAACATGATTATGGGTGGGGGAACCTGATTTTAGCATTTCAAAGATGTACTGACGAGCTGTACTTGTAGCTTGGCAGTTTGCAACACTGGTAATGGACCTCATTTACAATTAGCCATGAAGATCTTGCTGGAGCAATGTAACTTATTTTTGTTCAATGAATAGTGTCCCATTTTTTACCACCACTGACTCCAAACACTGGTTACACAAGTCAAGTGGACATGATGACCAAGAGGAACGTGTGGGCTGGCTCTTTACACGATATGGTGGCCATCTGCAAGTTTTGTCAGTGTTGCTTTCATTAAAAGACCTGCATTGTTGTAACTGCTTTTAAATTTTAAACACATTTGACCCTTGTGTTGTATGGGAACCACATCAAATAATCACTATCGGGCAGCAATGAGGTGTAATGCTTTTTTTTTTAAAAAAAACAACAAATTGTGGGAAATTTCAATTGGTAAACTATATTAAGACTGAACTTTGCTGTGTCTATTGGACTTGCCAATGGAACCATACATCGATACATAAATGTTGTGATTGTCTTGTACCCCCCCCCCCTTTAGTTTTTTGCCAGTTTGATGTAAGTTTTTTTTACCTCTTGGTCAACTTATTTTAGCACAAGTGTATTTATTGACAAGTGATGTGTTGTGATTTGCTAATAAACTTCCTATATTCCAAAACACTGATTGGGTTGGTGTTGTACATGGATTAGCCATGTCATTCTGATGCAAGTGTTCATATAGGTGTGCATGTATACACCACATCTTGCATGCTCTGGAACAGCATTCGTTTGATGAGTCATGTTTTCGAACATTTTCTTTGTTTAAATACACTTATACTGAAATGTTCAGTGCGAGACTGTCAGAGAAGCTTAGTCCCTAAGCATGACGTATTTGACAGTTCTCTTGGAGAACCAATAAAGTAGTTAGCGATGGCCTATTCTTTCAGCCCAGTTTTTCTATACAACTCCACAAGAGTCTAGTGTCGGAGTAAATTTCATAAAGGCGCAAGCCAAGGAGTACTGTAAAACGTGTCTATTTAGCGAGAACTAATTCGCTAATGACTTAATTATAAATTTGAATGGCGGCAAGAAGTCGTATTGTGAAATCAACAGTAAAATAGTATGTCGCTTCACGACTTTGGAAACCCACACAACAAAAATACAATTACAAGATTCAGCAATCTGTTGTAGTTATTGGATACCATGCCCCACTTATGATCAGAGCCTATCGGGGGCACCAGTTATTAGTGCCGAAGTCAAAACAAATATCGCTGAAGTGCAGTTGATAC